TTACGTCATCACAACAACGCCAAAATTCTATATTGATTTCAACTAAGTTTTGTAACTGTCACCGTAGGTAGCTACCAGTTCAGATACGATTCTGAATAGTACATTCTACATAAATGTATTAATTAAACGTAAAATGTTTAAATTATTTTATTTAACATATTCTTTACTGTAGTCAAATATAGAGATAAATAATGAGCTAATTTTAGCCTAGTGACATAAGTGACTGGAATATGTGACGTTTCTTACAAATACAACAAATACCTAACCTAACCTATTCCTTTGTGTTTGAGTTTGAATAACACTGAAGTTCGGTAACTGAAAGAAGAATATTTGAAACGCCCAAAATATAAGAATATATTCTGTATGAATGTACGAAATGAATGGTGCTACAAAATTAGCAGTTTTTGTGAACATTTGATAGTTTGACATTCGGATAGTGTTATCTGTGACAGCAAAAATAGGTTGACAACAACAGCTTTGTTAGAGGTTTTATTGCCACAAATATTGTTCAAGTCAAACTGCGGGAAATCCTGGTGATTTACTGAACTGTTTACGAGAACCGACTCATATCCGTAACATTTTATCTTGATCTTCGTAAATTACTGATGGATCATAATTTTTAACCTTATTTGTTCGTAAAACAATTAAAGTTTCATTAATTGGATAGAATATGAAATCTATTGGCTTCAATAAATTATCGTTTTGGCCGGCACGAATCGAAGTTTTTGACAATTTCGGGCACCTATATTTTCGGTCATGAATAAAGAATGTTTCCAATTCGGTAGAACATAATTTATTTTAAAACTTAAATGCTTTTGTGCGTATAAGTAAAATCTACCTCTTGATAATTCTATCTCGTATTTTTAACAAAGCATTTCGAGTGTTGGCTTGCGTCGCACATTCGATTTTGCTAAGAGCTTAATTTGCCCTCTTTTCAGTGCCGTCTCTCCGTTGCTTAATTAACGAAACACTCGTATCGCCAAAAGCAAAGCCTTATCTTGTCGGTCAGACGCTGATGAAATTACTAGGAAAATTGTGACGTCTTTATAAGGAAACACCTTAGTAAAATACTCGGTGAGTGTCAACAGTAAATGTTTTATTATTCTGATTAAATCACTCAAAAAAACAATTTTTGTAAAGAAAATTTCTGATTTGTAGGGCGAAAAATACTTTGTTTCTATAAATAGCTTTTCTAGAGTATCTTATAAAACTCGTTTCAGTTTACGTAAGTGTAAATTCCAAGTGAGTGGGAAGGCGATTGTTCGCATGGCTGACGCTATAGGAAGAGTGGAAAGTTTTAAATCTGAAATAAGCTTTCGTCTTAATCACGCAACGATAAGAAAGGTACATTAAAAAGGTCTGGCGTGACAACAAATCTAAAGGAAAAATCTCCGCTTCTGAGAGCCCAACGGTGATAAACGAGAAAAACTTTGGAACTAAATGGAGCATTCGAGACGGCGAAGCAGCGCTCCTCTTGTAGAATAATACTTCTCTCGAAGAAATAACACTTATAGTCCGCGAGGCTTAAAATCAAATGTCTCCGTTCTTTCCTAACTTTCAACCGAACCTTTTCGCGTAGTGCACACTGCAATAGCGACTGAGGCGAGCAATTCTCATTTCAATTTGTTCGGATATAGCAACGAGTTATTACTGTATATTGTACGTATACTTTATTGACGTTAAGCCTTTATGAATACAGTCTATATTATGCCTTAAGTACTTACGTTACTTACTTCTATAATATGCAGACTTACCTGAAAGGAAAACGAGAAATCATTACCAAAATTAAAGCTATGAAAACACAAAATATTTTATCTTAAATTAAAAACGTTATAAAAGTTACTCCGTACTAAACGGACATTGTTTTTTATCCTCCGGGGAATTAATTACATAATAATGAAAAGGTAGGAAAAGGAATTCATTCATTTGCATTATTATAAGGATACCGGAAGCAAGAGTGACATTTGAACACGTTCGCTTCGACCCGACTCTGAACTCTCAAGGCCGGGATCCCTGGATTTTCAAGGAAACTTGAGAAGTTTAATTGTTTATGTTACGAAAAAGGCTAGAGGATTATTTTTTGAAATAGGTAAATTATTTATTTTAAATTACAAAAGTTTGCGTTATTTTTATTATATAACGTTCGTATTTCTCTAACCTCAGTTGCCTAGTTTATGTGTTTTTTTATCCAACTATTTTTAATTAGGTTACCGTAACTCCGACTATTGAATCAAATAGGTTTAAGCGGTTTTACGTATACATACGATATTTCTGGTTAGATTTCATGAAACATTGAAATGTTATCTTGCCTTACATAAACAAAATAACAATATAATAATAATAGCCTCGAAGAAAAGAGAGAATGGTCTTAATTACTCGTTTTGAAAATAATAAACTAGAAGAACATTATACAACTATTTTTTATATATAACAGGAGGCAAACGTGCTGGAGGCTCACCTGATGTTAAGTGATACTACCGCCCCTGGACACTCACATTGCCAGAAGGCTCGCAAGTGCGTTGCCGGCCTTAAGAATTGGTAAGCTCTTTTCTTGAAGGACCCTAAGTCGAATTGGTTCGGATATAGTTCAGTGGTAAGCTGGTTCCACATATTGTCTGTGAGCGGCAAAAACTGCCTTATAAAACGGTTGGGGACGTGTGGAATGACTGATGTCGAGGTGATACGGATGGTAGTTTGTATTCTGCCTTGGCGTCCGATGATGAAACTCAGCTGCAGATATTAGTCCGAAAAACTCCTCTGAACAGTCTACATGATAAATGCGGTAGAAGATACAGACAGACCTCACATCTCTACGCAACGCCAAGGCATAAAGCCGCTTGGAAAATGACTGGTCGTCGACGATTCGGATCGAAAACTTCTTAATAGTTAGCGTTAACTATTCTAGATGTTTATGAATACGACAGTAAACATTTACTGCTGACAGTAGAGTTGTGTATGAGGTGTCTTGTACTAAGCTGATTTGATTGTGCTGACCAATTTTATAAAAATTATAACAGTAATATGTTAAAATTTTTGTTCCATTTAAGCGAAGGTGAAATAGGCATCACAACATCTTCTGGACTGGCGCGCCCTCCAATAGACCACATCTCACTTAACATCAAGTGGGATTGCGGCTTGTCTGTCCTGTTCTGTATAAAAAAACATGTGTGTTTACTTATGTACACGCGTTTGAAGTTATACTTCTTTGGCGCAAATCTTTTTAAACATTTTATCTTTCGCCTTATTCTACGTTTGTAGAATAAACGACACTAACAATAGAAATAAGGAATTTAATATATTGAAAACTTTATTATAACGCATTATCTAGTTAAATTAAGTTTATTTAAATATCACAAAAAAAATATTTCTACATCATTTAACAAATGGACATTTTTTATTATAAAATGTTGACTATGCTAACTCCAGGGTGTCGGTTTTTTGCGACGGTGTGCGCGAGCATCGTAAAAATTAGCTCTCATATTTTTCCTAACGCGCCATAAGACGTTTAACTTCAAAAATGTAATGTACAGACTAAAGAAATGAATGAGTTGTGAACAAGTGCGGCGTCGATACTGGGCGGTATCATCGCCAAGAGGCGGCGATCGGCACGCGCCTCGTCGAGAGCAACACAGAGCTTGTGTCAGCGCCCAGCAGCGCCAAAGAGCTACATCAATTATGTGATTGACAACTTAACCGACCGTGCGCCGGACGCTGCATTGTAACGTTGACAACGCAATAAAATTTTGATACACAGCTCATTGTCAATGTCCGGTAGATCCGTCATCTGATTAATCATAGGCTTCATTATTTCCCGATAACAATGGAATACAGTATTGCACGCGCAAGTTTCATCCCCTAAACCCCAAATTATAAAAGTATACAACTAAAACTTCGCTTAGATGGCAATATCATAATGGAAACCGCGTTATTTCGAATATGAGTTCTGTGAATTCGCAATATTCTCTCCAGCTAACCGCCACTTTTCTATTACACGAGTGTTGTGGTTCGGCGATTTAAATATCCTTTAATCCATTTACACCGAAAGGTAAAGCTCTTTTTTTACAACAAAGCAGATGGCACATTCAAGTTTATGCTCGCTCTTATTCAATAAAGGATGAGACTAAGTCATGAAAATTTAAACCCAAACGTAATGGGCATTAGGTAAGCGAAACTCAATTTGTTTTTTCTTTTCCTAGTTCACGTCCCAAAAGACACGAATCACGATTGGGTGACTCTGCGGAAAGTAAAACAGAGAAATGTTGTGGAGACCGTGGCAGTGATTTCATTCGAACAAAGTTTCTCTCTATCAACGAAATTCAGAGTGTAATTTGTAAGGGAAACTTCATCTTATCACAGAATTCCACGTGGAGTATTTTGTTGAAATTACTAATTTTATTCATCACGGCACGAGTGCTCCTCCTAATTTGTAAACAGACATCTTATTTGACGGTTTTCACCATAAACATGTTATTAAATAGGTTACTTTAATGTGTTTTATGAGTACGCCACTTGATTTACATAGGCTATCAACAAGTCAGCAATTAAAACGTAATATTTTAATATCTGCATTGTGCACGTATCATTAAAAATATATTTAATTAACAACCGTTAATGTAACTTGTAACTTCTAATATTTTATGAAATAAAGAATAAATCGAAACAAGTTTTATTTCCTTTAGTGAAAACCAGTGAAACTGTATTCTTAAAATTTTATTAGTAACGGCAGGTCCCAGATGTAAGTGGCACGTCACGTAACGAATGGAGCGCCGCGTGACTCCGTCTCTTGCTCTCTGCCGTAACTATTGCAATAGCGGGCTACGTAGCTACTTGCTACGAGGCTACGATTACTACACCCTATCGTTAACGTCACTCAAAATATTTTGCTGATTTATCATTTCGATTGAAATAAGTCGCTTTTAAAACGGTTTGACGTGCGCTTTATTCGAGTTAGTTAGGACCTGAGAAAAATTTTGCATAATTAAGCGTTGGGTCGCGGCAGTTTATGTGACGATTAGTGACGGAGTGCGCAGAAGGCTCGGCCGTTCAATTTGCCGCTTCACTTGACACAATTCGACGCCTGACTCGGGGACAATCGCACTCCAAGCCCCGTCGACCTCCTTATCTCCCACCGAGGTAATCTTTCCTTCCCTCGGCGGCAATAACTCCAAGTGGGCAGGATTACCTGCAAAGGGGCTTCGTAAGGCAACCTCTACAAAGGTTATCGATTTAAACATTGTGTGCACGCGTTAGATCCATTCTTTTTATAGCCGCCGCCCGTCTGCGGTACGCTTCAAACGAATTCTAAATTTACAATCCTAATTTTGTTTGATTTATAATTGAGAGTGTTCGTTTATTATTGTGACCTCGTGTTTTATATATGTTGATACGATTCAAATATATCTTTTTATATTCGTTGTTCGTACGTCACCAGCTATTAAAATGTATCGTAAATAGGACAATTATTCAACACTAAACAATTCAAATGATAATATGGATATATTTTTTTAAAATGAGATTTAGTATTGTAATATAGCATAGATTAGTTTTGAGACCTCGGCCAATTATTTACATGTATATCTTTAATTTTGTAAATTTTAACATGTGTAATGTTAAAATTAAAAAAATTCCTTTTGTTTTAACATTTTTAAACACTTATTTAGTTAGTGTTCTAATAATGAAATATGAGATGTACAGACCCGTTTGAAAATTATTTCACTGGCACGTAAATTCGAACGCGTAAATTTCAACACTGTCTGCGCACGGAAATTGAATCGTTCGCGGACCATAACAATATATAATACTCGCGAAATATGGCACAAACGCTTCGATAACCCGTACAAGGCTACACAATGGTACTCACGATAATTATATCACAATCTAGTCCAACGGTAAATTTATACAACTATAGAACGAAGATATTACCTCATTGAGGAAGAGAGAATTAAATATTTTGTGTCTAGTGTCTTTTATTTCTGTCGCCCATACATTAAATTGAATTGAATTAATTTTATAGTTGTATACTAAAATAAACGGATTTCAATATTAATTCAAACGATAAAGCATATTCCAACAATGATTCTTTAAATAGGCTTTTAAAATTCTTTTTATACGATGTATATTGTATAAACACCAAGACGTAAAACCAACTATATAGGAAGTTGACGCCAGCTTAAAACAGGCTCTATCTAGTATAATATGTACGGCGATCGAAAATGCAAGAGAAAGGTGATATGGAAGCAGAAGTCAGGGTGGGGATATTTCAATTTGGCCGGAGACGTGACCCGAGAGGCCGCACGGCTCGCTGAACCGTAAGACCGTTGCGGGCTACGCCAAAGAGCAAACAGCGCCTCTGCAATCTTGTGCCACGCGGACCATGCCAAACACTCGACCAATGCAATCTACTTCTACAATTACCCTCACACTATCAAGTTCCCAACTCTTAAATCCTATATACCGATTTGAATCGGAGCCAATCGTCGACGTGTGAAATGAAAAGTGGATTCCATATTTAGGTATTATATTTTAGAAGTTCCCGGATATTTTTTTATTGATAATTATTTTCTTAAACTAAAAAGCTTTTGAACGACCAAGATGGTCCAATTAAATTTTTTCCACAATAAGTCTTACAATTAAACAGTTGTTTCGAGTTCGTAAATAATAAGATTAAACCTACAGTTTATGATTATATGCTACCCAATTAATATCTGTTGTTGTGTATGAATACGAAATGAGTATTTTAATGGTGTTAAAAACGGAACCACTTAAGGGGAATAAGGAGTAATTAAGGTTTATTCCCTCTGCTACTAGCGCTCGTTACTATAAGGTCCGGACGGAGGGGATTGCGTTCTGGAGTCCACTCGTAATATAAGAATTATCTTCATAATTAAATCGACAATTACGAAATCTAGAGGTATTAATATGTTTTAATGCAAACAAAAAGTAGAAGGACATCTTATAAACTCACGAGACCTATCGGCTTTACGGATATGAAAAGTTATGAAAAGCCACAGTTCAAGTCGTCAAGCGCTTTAATATTATTTATAAATAAACTGTAATTTAACGAGGCTTTTGGGATAATAAAGACTCGTATATCATGGCTCATGCTTATTGCCTGTGAATAACAATGAATTTACGGAGACTATAAATCGAACAGGTGCGTCTGTACCTGAATGGAGCCGAATGCGAGATATTAATCGCAGTTCAATGTCTTAGTAAATTTTGGTCTCTGTACTAAATGTAAACAATGGAAAATTCATATCGTGTTGTGTAACATAAAAAAAAATTGTAAATTATATTACTTAATGAATTGGATAGGAATAACAATAAGAAAATTTTAGTGATTGAAAAAAATTCAACAAACTCATCGGCTACTGTTTTAGAAATTTATATTAATGCAGACATCGAAAAGATAAAGATTACGATACATCCTTATACATATTTGCCCTATATATATATATATTATAAATATTCATTGTGTGAGCCATGCACATTGAATTAAGTCCCTCACGCACGTATCAGTACTATAATTCCTTATTTAAAATGTTTATAAACGTGAAATTACATTTTCAGTAGATTAATAACATTTCTCTCATATAAGACATGAGTACGTATTATTAAGTTATAACAATACAAAATTTTAGAACAAAGCTTAAAAGAGAAATATCCTTCCAATTATCTTGTCGCATGACGCCTCTAGAACATTAGCATTTCAGATCTGTTGTATCTATGCTATTGCAAGCGCCCCGAGCTATCATACAACTTAATATACCTGTTCATATTCAAATTTTAGTATTATAAGCTCTGCTTAGCGAATAACGATGAGATCGACTCGTACATATACTCGTATACTTATATTAAATCCGAGGGTAACACAATGCTTTAAGTATATTAATTATATCTATGCACGTTTTGGGTGATATTGAATAACTGAAATTGGAACGAGATTTTTTTTTTATTAAATGTATCAAAAGCATCTGACTTATTTAAATGTAATTAGGCACGTATTCAGTGAATTTTATGATCAGCAATTTCTCAAGTCACAAGAATTTCATTCAAAGTAAACTAATTTACGAAACTATTTCTATAAAAAGCAAGCGAAGGGGACTATTTTCTTGAAAGTCAGAGTTTCACAAATGAATAAATTTAGGCGTGACTTTGAACGTGCTTTCAACATTTTTCATCTTTATTAAGCACAACTCAACATACGCATAAATAACATCAAAAATATACTGAATTTATAATAGCAGAAGTTTATACAACTATGTGGAGTTTTTGATGAAGTTTCAAAAAACAGTAAAAGTTTCATAACAACGGCACAAAGACGAAATCGTTCGCATCAAGTAGTTTCAAAAGACAAATACGCTTCATCACAAGTGTTTCAGTTCGTTCAACAATAATTGATCGATACGTTAGAATAGACGGGCAATTGCTTTTACAACCGATACAAGCGATTTTGTAAAAATACATTGAATCCTGTTGTAATATAAACGCGCTGTCAACATCGGGAGGGCGGGCGAGGGCGGATTGTGGCAATTTTTCTCTTCGCTGACAACATGATGTAACGGCAATATCGCCCTGAACGATTAAGCCGCGTGGCTGATAATTCAAATAGTCAAATATCCTTTTATACTGCTATGAACAGAAATGCTATGTACGCTGCTATCGCAACGTATAAGTGACTATGAGACTCACAGCCATTATTCGACTCGCCCTGAATCACTCCTAACAGTCATCAGAGAGCCTATTGTCAAAATTTTAAAGCAACGAAGATGGAACTGTTCTCAGTCGTTTAGTCGATACAACGTAAATTTCGCGTGGAATTACCTCGCGTACTGAGTCTACCTTTCTTGTAATCATGCGACTGACTATAAAAAGGAAATAAAAGAAGCTAATCCCCGGACGGAACGTTCGTATCGCTTCAAAAGATAGTTGGCAAGTCGAATCACGCAGGCAGGCAATCACTCGATAATAAACGTGGAGCGAGGCAACGGCACTGTCGCACGTGCTGCTGACGATGGCTTTTGCTGCAAGTGCTTACCGTTACTGGCTTAGCCAGTATATAATCTTAATAGATCTTAATTGACGCACTTGGATTTGTACTTAATGCGCAAGGAATATTGGTTTAAGTTCCTAAAGATAAAATTGAGACGGATATTCGAAAGATACAATCTATTTTAAGAACGTTAAAAAAGAAACTAAAACAGAAAAGTTTTAAATGAATTTATTACCTAGAAATATTCATTAAGTTTAAACAATTTCTAGTACTCGAACATATTTTCGTCTTAACAATATTAGTGATTGAATGCATTTGCTTTTCTAGACTGTAGACAGTGAACTTTCATTATTTCGTTATGTTTTCTAACAAGGTAATGATATCGATAAGATTTTCTAATACAATTCATTAGAAGTTCGGACGTATTCGATGATAAACGATGAGCTGGCGCCCAACCGGCGGACGCTACGCGAAAAATACAACTGTCATCTTGACTGATAGTCAAATAATGGCAGTCATGCTCCATTCTGCATGCCAAGAGCTATTGTAATTCTCTGTGGCTTGACGCTTATTACGTGGGTTACACAAAAGCTCCCGGCTTGAGGTAAGGACTAAGGGCAGTGAATAATAAGTATTGAAAGATTCTAAGAACGATCCCGACGGAGCTTGTTTGAAAAGGTTAAAAAGATTGTATCATGTTTTTATTATGAGGCGATTGTTTAAGTTTCAATTATGCTGCGAGTAACTAACTACTGTCAATACTTTTTGTATACATTTTACTACGACTATGGAAGCTTTCAATTTATAAATAATGAATATTTTCCAGATAAACAAAAATCGACGAAAGGTAATCACTGAAAATTAGAATACTCGATAAAGTGATTAATAAGCTTCGTCTTTCATATTCAATTTTTTTTAAACTGGTAGAACTAGAAATATGCTTCATAAACAGATATTATCGTTACCTAAATACCTATTTTAACTCTTTTAAAAACAGGTTGGGTAATTTCCAAATCCGCAAATACGCACGCATCAGCTTATTAAACTGCTAGTCTGTTTATCTACATAATAATAAATAAGATATAGGTTCGCGGTCTATTGTATATGTAGGAGTAACATTAAATCTAACCTTCTTCCATGAGCATACCTTTAATTAATTTTAAAGGTATTTTCGTTTTTTACTTAAAAATTCAATAAAATAAATGGAATGTTTCTTTAGAATAGGGAGCGTGGGGTAGTTGT